CAATATTTGTTAGGCCAAATTTGCTTGTAGAAAACTGGTGGTTGTTCTTCACTTCCTGTGATCACCCTTCAAGTTTATGTCACATTCAAGAGAAATATTAATCTATCAGACAACTCTCTTAGCCTTTCACCAGGTACACTTTCACCTCTGCTGAATAACTCAAATATAAATGATGTCAAACTCTTCCAACAGTGAAGCTTTCATCCAATATTATGGATATAGAGAAAAAAATCACAGAAGGGAGATTTTTGCTTCATATTGCTTCTATTAAGGGCAATATACCCGACAGGCAGTGGTGGCACGTGCCTTTAATCCCAGCACTTGGCAGATGGATTTCTGAGTTCGAGGCCAGCCTGGTCTACAGAGTGAGTTCCAGGACAGCCAGGACCACACAGAGAAACCCTATCTCAAAAAACAAAAACAAAAACAAAAACAAAAGGGGCAATATACCCTCTGTTGAATACTTTGTGCAAAACAGAAATGACTCAAATGTTCAAGACCATGCTGAATGGACACCATTGTAAGAAGCCTGCAGTCCTGGGCACCTGAAGATGACCAGTATAATGCTTTGGTAAACACCACTGGCTATCAGAAAAACTCCCAACTTCATCATGCAAAAAGAATGGGAACATGGATCTAGTCATGGTGTTACTGTCCTATGGTTCCTCCAGGAATGCTGTTAATGTATTTGTTGTATGACCCATGAGTTATACAGACTGTCTTAGTCAATATTCTGTTGTTGTGAAGAGACACCATTACCAAGGTAACTCTTACAAAAGCAAGCATTTAATTAGAGGACTTGCTTACAGTTTTAGAGGTTAGTACATTATCATTATGGCAAAGAGCACGGCAGTAAACAGGGTACTGGAGAAGTAGTTGAGAGCTACATCCCGATCAGCAGGCAAAGTAAGTGATACTGGGTCTCATGTGGGCTGTTGAAACCTCAAAACCCAAGTCCAGTGACACATTTTCTCTAACAAGGTCACACCTCCTAATCCACTCCCTGACAACTAAGCATTCAAATATGAGCCTAAGGGGCCATTCTTATTCAAAGTATCACACAGAGAATGTGTGATTATTGCTGCTACCAAAGAAGAATGAATCATTTTAAACTAACAAGTGCTTGGTCATGAATGCTGGGCCACTAGGCAGTGGGCTTTCTTCAGAAGAAGAGAAACATGCTCAGTAAACTTGAGATAGTTCTGGAGGTTTAAAAAATGTGCTAAGTTTGACAGTACACTAACTCATGTCATTGTTCCTGTTGATGAAGCTCAAAGTACTTGTATGGGATTCTCAAATGGATGATAGCTCTTGAAGTTTGATTGGGTGAAAGCATGGCTGCAAAGCAAAGTTACATAAAAAGGAAGAAAAGTACAAAGTTCCACAGAGGTCCACTGAAGATGAGGCTTAACAGAGAGCAGCTGTTACCAAAGCCTTTTGGTGAATGTTACTTCTTTTGTGAGGAGAAACTTCAAACATCATCCAAAGGACCTTAAGCTCATTGCTGTAGCAGAGGCAAAGTCCTTGTAGAAAGTCCAAGCCAGACTGACATGACTCAAAAGGTCAACACAATTGTGTGCTGTTGGTGTATGCTGTGTGAAACTGTGTCTCTGTCCTTCCTCACCTACCTAAGGCACTCTCTGGCTTTAATAAAAATCGGATTGCCAATTAGCTGGAGGTGGGGCTTCCTGGGAGGGAGAAAGGAACTCTGGGAAGAAGGAGAAAAGCTTTTGCTAGGAGATCTAAGAGGAGACAAACATGACTGTGGGCTTGTAAGGTATAGCTGTAGCTAGCCAGGTGGCTGGGTGGTGTTAACTTACATGAGCTAGTTGAGAGTCTGCCCAGCTAAGGCCTAAGACTTTAAAATATTAATGGGTCTCTGTGTGGTTATTTTGGGAAAAGCTGGTTAAGGACTGATTGCTACTGTATTAACTTCTAGCATTATTATTTACAGGATATTATTAATCTTTTAATTTACTATGTCAAACCTAATTCTGATCAGTACTTTTATGCATAATCCATCATCCATTAAGATCTGTTTCATTGTTGTCCAGAAAGGATTTGGCAGGGCAAAGTCTGGATGGCTCCTTCACCCTGGCTTATCAGCTGTGATACCAGTCTTTGAATTTCCTCCTCTTTTTTTTTTTTTTTTTTTAAAGATTTATTTATTTATTTTATTATGAGTACACTGTAGCTGTCTTCAGACACACCAGAAGAGGGCATCCAATCTCTTTATGGATGGTTGTGAGCCACCATGTGGTTGCTGGGATTTGAACTCAGGACCTCTGGAAGAGCAGTCCGTGCTCTTAACCACTGAGCCATCTCTCCAGCCCCGAATTTCCTCCTCTTGACAACTGAATGTCATGACAGGTAAACATTTTAAACTGAACAAGCATGGTTTGTGAGAACCCAGCCTCTAGAGTATGTTTGATCTTTCACATTCTTATGGATAGATATAACCATTCACATTTCCCCCCTTTGAATGCAAAATAATGCAATTGATGCTAGATTAGGAATTCATTTTGATGCCTAAACTGATTTTAAGATTTGTTGTTGTTGTTGTTCTCTAAAGGGAGAATGGGGCTCAGTGGTAAAGTCTTCAGTCTTCATGAACCAAACATGAGGTAACAGGGTTCCACACTGGGAACTACAAAGAAGTTTTCATTTTACAAGTGGTCCATGGTTTTTGATTGACCATGTATCCTAGTTAGGATTACTGTTACTGTGATGAAACACTTCTCCACATAACTTGGAGAGGAAACAGTTTATGTCAACTTACACTTCCAGGTAACAGTCCATCACTGAAGGAAGTCAGGGTAGGGACCTAGAGGCAGGAGCTGATGCAGAGACTATCAGGAGGAGTGTTGCTTATAGCTTGCTATCCTTGGCTTGCTCAGCCTGCTTTTCATCTATAGTGTATTTGTGCTTATTTGTGTGTATTGCTGTAACTTATTTTAATATCACCATTTCTTAGAAGGTCTTATCAGTTTAGAAAAAATTTAAATATCAGTTCATTAGACTAGAATCAATATGTTTGTGGTAAATCTTTCTGGGCTTTACATATTATTAAAATATATAATCATTGAATCACCTCCCCATTTCCTTTCCCCTTTCATCTTTCCCTCTCTTTCTCTTGTCTTCCTTTTAATTTATGATTCTGGAAGTCAGGGTCTTGTACATGCTAGGCAGTTATCTACCACAGAACTATATCTCTGGCCCAGTTTTAATTCTTTTTCTTTCTTCGTGAGTGAGGGCTGGGGGCCTTGCACGTGCCAGGCAACTGAGCTATACTCCTAACCCTGAATTTATTTTGAGCTGGTCTTGCTAAATTAGCCAGATTGGCCTTGAATTCACCCAGTTTTAATATCTTTATAAAGTTTTTATGTTGGTGGGTAGGCAAAAGTTGGAGATCACTTGATCCACATTTTCACCACATCCTACATAAAGACCATCACACTAAGTAGAGATGTAACTGAGATGTAACTCTTGATGCTGGGTAGTCAAGGCAGAGTAGGGAGGGCACCACCTGAGCATGCACACACTGGCAACTCACCCTGTCTGTCCTATGTGTTCTCACTATGAATGGACATCTCTGCTTTTAAATGGTTTTAAGGAAGGGGATTTTTCAATGAATCTTCCCAGAAATGTTTGTAGCATTATGGTTTGTAGAAAGAGGTACTGAGAGAACCATCAGTTTTATTGTTAGGAACAGAACAGGGCAGCTTGACAATCACTGGGTAGAATTGCCCCAAGTCAGTACACTGTTAAGCTGTGAAGTCTGAAATTCTGCTGATCGAAAATATATCTTCCATAAGTTCTCCTTTGACATACTACTTTTCATATCAACAGGCCTATTATATGAACAAAATAATATTTTCCTGACATTGGCTTTCCAGGGTAAACAGTTTTAAAAGTCTATAGTTGTATTAGTCAGGTTTCTCTAGAGTCACAGAACTTATGGAATGAATTTCTCTCTCTCCTATACATATATGTATGTATATTTATATGTATATGTATGCATATATGAATTTATTGGAATGACTTACAGGCCGCAATCCAACTGTGAGTGGCTGTGAGTGGAAAGTTCAAGAATCTAGTAATTGTTCAGTCCCCATAAGCCTGGGTGTCTCAGCTGGTCTTCTGTATATGCTAGAATCCCAAGGAAGTTGACTCCAGTGCCAATGAGGGAATGGTTGTTCTAGCAAGGTGGAAACAAGCAAGCAAGCAAGCAAAGACCAAAAGCATCCTTCTTCTATGTCCTTACATAGACTTCCAGCAAAAAAATATCATCCATATTAAAGATATGTTTTCCCTCTAAAAGATTTGGATTAAAGGTATATCATATGTCTTCCTACCTCAACACCCAAATTAAAGGCCTGTGTCTTCCAGCCTTGAGATCTGGATCAAAGGTTTGTATCTTTCTAACTCAAACTTCTGTATTACAAGTGAATTCACCCACTTCAAACCAAGCAGAAATATCTCACAGGTGTTACCTGCATTTCTGGATTGTAGTTTGTTCCAGATACAGTCAAGTTGACAACCAATAACAGCCACCACAACAGTTATTGCCTGTGTTTGACTCACACTTCATTCTAAATCTGGAGTGGGATGGGGCAGGCAGTAGTATCTGGATTAAGCAATCTAAGGTTTTGGGTTGTTTTTCATTTATTCCACTTCTGAGTAGCTTTCTGTTGCACCCAGGGTCTCATTCCTGGCCAGTATTGTGTCTGTTCCTTGGTGTGAAATCCTATCTCTAAAAATGCCTTTGAGGGTTCCTATTCACATTTCATTTTCTTGCTTCAACCCCATTCTCATTTTTCTTCCTTTTCCCTATTAGTATTATGATTTCTGAGTGTTCTAGTTGCTGATTTTTATGCAGTTGGCTTATGGTAAGCTTTTAGAACTTGACATTGTACCTCCTATAGAAATGTTTGTAATTTTCATTTTTCCCTAATGAATTTAAACATTTTTATTTACCATAAATCATTTTTAAAAAGGAGTTAGAAAATGAAAATTCTCAAGGAGAATTCCCTCTTCTCTTTCTTTTTTAAGGAATCATAGTAGTGCCTACCTCTTCCTGCTATGAATCCTTTCTTCATTCTGCTTCCCCACTTAATACCCAGCTCCTGGCCGTACTCATCCCCATACCAGACCAGAAGCTCACAACCTGGTCTGATAACACGGCAGGTTCGATAGAAGATTTTCCTGTGATATTGAAAGGCTACCAGGTTCTGCTCTTCATCATCCCGGGCACAATTCACATACCTAGAGTGGAAGGAAAAGGAAGCAAATATCAGGCAGGCAGCTTCATGTCTGCACTAGCTCCTTACTGGTATCCAGTGTCCCTATGCTATGATGTTTCCAACCCCCTCCCACATTTCAAAGGACCTTCTGTTCTCATCTATCCCTTTGATGTTATGTGTATCCTAGCTCCAAGCCCTGTTCATTTGTCCCAAAGGCCTTTCTTTCCCCAAGAGCCCAGTTTTCAAAGCTCTACTTCAGCCATCTATCTCTACTAGTGACAAAACAATGACTTCTTGCTTCAGTAAACTCTAAATCTTCCCATGTATACCTTAGAGCTTGGGACTTTTCATACACTCTGCTTCTAGATTCATCCTACACTGATCCCAACCTTGTTTGAAAGTTCTTCTCACTACCTGCCCAGGCTACCATAAAAGCTTACGAGATTTCTTAGCAAGACAACACAGAAAATAGGGCTGAAGATATAGCTCCGCTGGAGCACCTTGCCTACATATACAGTAGCCTGGGCTCCATCTCCAGCACCATGCCTACATATACAGTAGCCTGGGCTCCATCTCCAGCACCATGTAGTACTGGGTATGGTACATGCCTATAATCAAGAAATGAGGTCAGGAGGATTAGAAGTTTAAGTTAACCCTCATAGAAAATGGCTAGAGTGCACAGCATCCAAACCTACATCATTCCAGAACCCAGTATGATTGTCTCTGAAGCTAAGGAAATTTCCTGCCCTCACAGACTAAAGGTCCTCTGTTGTAGGTTGTTTCATCACTGTGCACTTCTCAAAATATACAATAATTTCTTTTAATAAAATATTTGTAACATGCCTCTTGTAAGGACACAAGTTGTCTGACCTGCTCAAGTAATGAAATCTATTTTCTGAACTAGAACTCAAAATAAATGTTTCATAAATATTGAATAAATTGTAAGCCCAGTATTTTCAGTGAATATAGGCTCCTTAAGGTTTCCCTCAGTATTCCAATTTTGCTGAGTAGATTTGTGCTTTGATAAAAGTTAATGATAATATTATTTTTCCTTAATGTCCACAATATAAAAGAAGTACTTTTATATGGGAACCATTGAAGGAGTCATGATGAGAAAGGAAGGAACAAGTCTTATGAGTGACAGTCTTTCTCGGAACCCAGATACCTAATGGCCTTACCTCATCCAGTTGGCCTGGGACTCATCCTGTCCATCCACATACTCATAGCAGTTTCTTCCCTTGGTAATCTGAATTTCAGAAAAAAAAAATACATTAAAGCTTCAGGATGACTAATGAAATCATGTCACCTCACACTCACCAGTGCTCCCTGAGCTTTGGACTCAGCCACTCACAGTGACCGCACATGAGGCTTCTGAGTCATCATGTACATATGTGTTTTCTTTGTCTCTCTACCACTCCAGCCCTACTCACCTTCAGATTTTGAAGCAGGATTTCCATGTTGAACAAAAACCATTCAGTACACAAATTTAGTCATGTTGTCCCTGTCCATATCCTAGTTTGTCACACCAGAAACACAGGAAGGATGTGGGGAGACAGAGGATGAAGGGAAAGGAGATATTTCTCACCAGCCAGGAGTATCCACTGTTAGCTGACTCTTCATCCTCTGTGATCTGGCCTTCATAGGGGCCAAAGTGCAGACCCACTGGTAGATCAGATGTTTCATTCCATACTCCAAGTCCAGCTTCAGGGATGCCTGATGGACCAATTCTCAGCCCAGGGGGCAGACTGAGGACTGAGTGGTTGGGATGCCCCCTGTCCACCACGCTATCTTTTACAAATAAAGGAGGCCCATGGTTGGGACAACTGTCGATGAAGAAATTCTGGCACTTCTCACAATCTAAGGTAAAAACAGCAGTGATTGGACATCCCCAGATATGTGAACACCCCAGATCAAAAGAAAGAGTATAGCACTCCTGTTACTCTCACAATCTACACCCAAAGTCACTAGAATAGACATGGTCTGAGCTCCACGTGACCAGATGAATCACTAGACTAGGACATAACCGCCTTCTACATAAGATAGCCTGGTGGACACTTACAGAGGTAGTCATCATCCTGGGGCTCGCTGACCTCTTCATATGCAAGTCCCTTTCGCTCTCGCAGCCTATACATCTTCACTTCAACATTCTTTTTCCTGAGTTCTATATTAGAGAACAAAGGTGACTTAAAGTATATGAGTCTCAAGCATGTATCCCTGTTTCTTCATAAAATCTAAAATCTGGGCCTGAAAAGATAACTCAGCAATTAAAGCACATGCTGTTCTTACAGAGGACCTGGGTTTGGTCCCAGGCTGGTTCCCAGCACTCATATCATGGCTCACAACCATCTGTAACTCCAGTTCTAGGTAATCAAATACTCTCATCCCAACTCTGCAGACATCAGGCATGCACATGGCACACATACATATATGGAGGCAGATATTCATATGCATATAAAAATAAATCTTTAGAAAACTTAAATTTATTTTAAAATGTTTTTAAATATGTGAAATTTACTGCCATATGCTCCTCTTTTAAACTTTTTTGTTTAAAGAAGCTAAGATCTCATATTCAACTAACAACAGATGTCTAATATAACTTTAATTTCTGACTCTGTAGGCTTAATTTCTACTTGCCCACATTTTCTATTTGAAAATGGTTCATTCACCTGTTGATTCATTTATAAAATATTAGTTAAGGACATGCTGCAATTAGGCACTGAACAAAAGTCGGGGCAAACAGCATTGAGAGTATTTGGTTCCTATTGCCACAGAGATTTATTGGATCAGTTACTTTATGCTTCACTTGCTGTTTGAAAGCAATATAAGAGCTACCATATCCTCATTTCCACATATTAACGTTCACAAGGTCACAGAGTTTTTAAGATTGCCCAAGTCCCAGTACCTCCATGTGAATAACAACCCAAGTGTATGCCTTTAAAGTCAGTGTTCTGGCATACTACTTAATAGCATGCCCACTATCAATGCCACAGCTTAGACAAGATCAAGTTCAGAAGTTTCTGAAGTTACTACACTGACCATTGCAGACCATTCTCATCAATATTCCTAGAGGGATTAAAGTTCCCAAATTATTTACTCTTACTCAATTTTTTTCCAGAGTGCTGTCCGGAGGTATTTCCTTCTTCAGGGGAAGACACTGGTTTCTGGGCATGTTCTGAGCCACTTGTATTCAGCAAGTTTTCTATTTCAGACCCTTCCTTCACATTAGATTCACCGCTTAATGGCACTCTAGGTGATTCCTTTATTTAGAGTCACATATAAAAAGACAATAGGCATTTCAGTAGTTCTTTAAGGCTTTTTATAAAATTTCACCTGTAATTTTAGTTAATGTGTAGAGTGTCTGAATAAAGAAGAGACAAGGAAGAACTTAAATGAATCCAGGGCAAAAGGCCATATGCTAGGCTTTCTCTTGAAAGCTTCTTTCAGGCTTGAGGGAGGAATATTTGGGAAGGCTAACTGGAAGGCCAACAAAGTTTGCAATGAAAAAGATAAGGCTTACAGAGAGAAAGAGAGTATATCCATAAAGTAGGAAATATTGATCAGATGAGAAATGTAGAAAACAAAGTTGATAAAACACATCTGTAAAAGGAAGTGAGAGCAGAGCAGTATCTCTGGGACAAAAATGAAGAAATGGTGGCAGAAATATACCTCTACAACTAACAAAGTGATGATAAAATTGTAAATTTGAAAACAGTTGATTCTAGAATTAGGTTGCTTGTTTGAGACAAGGTCTCATTATAGAGGCTGGCCTCGAACTCACAGGATTCCTCCTACCTCAGCCCTTCAAGTACTCAAATTACAGATCTGAGCATAATGCTTAGGATGATTCTGGAATTAGATTAACTAATTCTTGTACTAATTTTTTCAGAAAATTCACTAATTTTTTCATTCATAATTTGTATAAATTCTAATTGTTTGTTCATTTTTTAAAGATTTGTTTTCATTTCTATTTGTGTGTGTGTGTGTGTGTGTGTGTGTGTGTGAGAGAGAGAGAGAGAGAGAGAGAGAGAGAGAGAGAGAGAGAGAGAGAGAGAGAGAGAGGTGCACAGGTTTGTCAGGGTCAGACAAGGGCATTCAATCTCTTGGAGTTGGAGTTAAAGGGCAGTTTTGAACTGTACAGCTAGGAACCAAACTCAGGACCTCTGGAAGAACAAGAAGTTCTATTAACCACTGAACCCTCTCTCCAACCACCCACACATAATAATTCTTTTTGTGATGCTGAATAGAACATGTGCAATTGAATATAACATTAATGTGAGATTACTAGCTTCTCTCATAGTCTCGTCCACAGATGATCTTTCAATGGAAATTATTTGCCTGTATGAAATCTTACATACTCTCTCTTTCCCATTCCAAAACTCACTATATCATTGTATACCTGTGGCAGATCTGGAATTCCTTAAGTAGACTAGGCTGGCCTCAAACTCACAGTATTCCTTGGGGCTCTGCTTCCCATGTAATCACAGGCAAGAACTACCATGCCTCATTAAGTTATTTTCTCATTTATGGATCCCTTGCTATCAAACTTGAATCTTCTTAGGGATGAGAGCTGCCGTTTCTTATCAGAATGAGTCTTTATGAGGGAGAGGATCATAGCTCCTTTATCTGTGCCATCCAAAGTAAAAATCCTCTGTATTTGTAAACTATCCTTAGAGTACATTAGTGTATTTCTCACTGTGATATAGCAGGAAAAAACTGAGGTAGGAACACTCAAATGAGTGATGTTCTTATTAATTCAAATGACAGGGAGGATGAGAGACATTGTGTAGAAGAGACTGGGAAGGTAGCAATTCCCAGGGTACTCTAAGCCTTCTCCTTTCCTTACCTGTGTTTGGATCCTTTGTGAAGGTTTCCTTGTCTGTAGGATTTGGAAAGCACTTACCTTCTGTTGTTTACTGTGCTTCACCCGGAAAGGCACCCAAGGAGGACTGACTGAAAAGGCATGGGAAATCAGGGCTTGGGTTGGTATATAGTTTTACACTTAGGATTCTCACCAGGAACAGAGAATTCTGAATAACTGAGTGAAGACTTCAAGGATGACCCAAAAGTGATATGGAAATTATTTCTAAAATATTATTAATCCTATCATTCTATTGGGGGCATTGGTGTTTTTATTTAAGCTTATTCAATTAGACAAAACTCATCTTCTCTTTGTTTCATGTTCATAAGATATTCAATGCATTTATTTTTAAGTAAATAAGTCAATCAGCCTGTGACAAGGAAAAAAACTGAATAAATCAGGAACAAGGAGAGATTATGTACACACAAAAAGGTCATTTGATAAAATATCATTTTAATATCAGTCTTAATAGTGAAAAATTGGAGTTCCTTCCTCTAGGATCACAACAGGCATGCAAGGATTGCCATTATTGCTATTTCTACTCAATATAATACCAGAAGTCCTGGTTAGAGTAAGTAGGCCAAAAAAAGATATACATGTCATCTAACTTGGAAATAAATAGCCGGGCGGTGGTGGTGCACACCTTTAATCCCAGCACTTGGGAGGCAGCGGCAGGCGGATTTCTGAGTTAGAGGCCAGCCTGGTCTACAGAGTGAGTTCCAGGACAGCCAAGGCTATACAGAGAAACCCTGTCTCAAAAACAAAATAAATAAATAAATAAATAAATTTAAAAAATAAAATGAGCATTTAAAAATCAGTTGTGTTTTATACAACCACAATAAACAATCCAGGGAGGAAATTTTTAAAAATAACATCTATAATGATTAAAATAATAAAATATTTAGTAGGAAAGTAAAGGATGCAAGAGATTTGAATATCAAAAATGTCAATACTGGGTCAGGCAGTGGTGGTACATGCCTTTAATCCCAGCACTTGGGAGGCAGAGACAGGCGGATTTCTGAGTTTGAGGTCAGCCTGGTCCACAGAGTGAGTTCCAGGACAGCCAGGGCTACACAGAGAAACCCTGTCTCAAAAAAATGAAAAAAAAATGTCAATACTTCTTTCAGTAATGTCAAAGGAGAGAAAAACAGCCCATGTTCATCGGTTTATAAGAAAATGTTATACAAGTTTATATTACCTCAAATAACCTATAGATTAAATTTATTGCCTATAAAAATGCCAATGTGGTGTTTTGCTGAATTAAAAAAAAATCAAGATTAATATAGGATCTTAAGTGAGTCAGAATAGCCAAGAGAATCTTGAAAAAGAACAAAGCCTAAGATAACATGCTTTAAGGAATTACATCCAAGGCATGAAACTATGAAACCATTAGAAGAAAGCTAGACTAAAATCTGCATAATATTAGTAACATAATTAATTTTCTTGGTATAACACCAAAAAATTAAGCAAAAACAGAGAAGTAGGATTACATTAATCTTAAAAGCATCAAATGAAACAACTGAATGAAATGGGTAACCTAAAGAATAGAAGAAAGTATCTGCAAAGTGTATATATAATAAGGAGTTAGTGTCTAGAATACTCAACAGCCACAACATCAATACAAAGTAAGTCAAAAATAGGCGATTATACTCAAGTGTGTTTTTAGCAAATAAACTTATATTTTTTAATTCAAATTCTTTTTCCTAACATATTTGGAGATGAAGCTATTGGAAGGCAATTATGACATGATAACACCTGAAGAGTGTGGCCCCATAATTGAATTAGTACTTTCATAGGTAGTGATCCTATGAACATACACCTATGTGTGTTCTACACATGAACACACATAGTTCATGTGAATACACAGTGAAGGTCTCTTACATACAAAGAAGCCATTGTTGAAACCTGACAAGGTAGCAGCACCCCCATCTTGGATTTCTAGCCTCCAGAACTGTAAGAAATATATTTCTCCTTACAAACTTAGCACATGATATTTTGTTGACAGCTCTTCAACTATCTAATTAATACAATAAGCACACATTTCTCCAGATATTTAATTGGGCAACAAGCATAGAGAAAGATGCTCAACACAATTAATTATCAGATAGATAGATAGATAGATAGATAGATAGATATAGGTATAGATATATAGATATGCCTTTGGTGGAAATATAAAATAGTACAGCTACCAGAAATAGTAAGGCCCTCAAACATTAAAATAGAATTACTTTATGATACAGATTTCTTTACGTACATATAAAAAGTGAAAATGGGATCTTGAAGAGACATTTGCACATCCATGGTCATATTTACATTATTAATAATAAGCAAGCAGACTATAAACTAGGTAAGGTGCTTACGCTAACTTCTTTGGGTTTGATATTTCTTGTTCATGCCCAGATTTGTATATATCATATTTATTGTATTTATAATAATATATAGTTTTCACATATTTTAAGATGTACAGGAATAGCTCCTTACTGTATTTTGCATTGCATCTTGTTTGTTTGCTGACTTTTGATTCTTAGGTGAAAAAATTAACAGTTTTCAGAAGTTAATTCTGAGACATTTTTGAAACCTAAATCTGGGTTGGTTTCACATGGGTACTTCTAAATCCTTCTGACCCCTCACTTCGCTTCTAAACTCTCCTAGCCCCTCCTCACCTTGCTGCTTAGGTGTCCATTCTTCATCAGAATCTTCACTGTCATTTATCTGGGGCTTGATTGCTTGCCTTTGGTAACACATGAAAGCTGGTCTAGGGGCTCTGAGACCTGAAAAGAAGCAAAATATTCCCTTTAAAAGGAAGCAGGCCCTAGAGGATGGAACCAAAGTATCACAAGGCCAGGTAGGCTCTGGGTGTGGAGATGAGATCTCTACAGGGCCAGTGGTAACATTTAGCCCTACACACACGCACACGCACACGCACACGCACACGCACACGCACACGCACACGTTCCCTCTAAACTTGTCTCCATTGGAAAGTGTACCACTCTAGATACCTGGGAGAACACTAACATAACATGGGAATTAGAGACTTGTTTTTTATCTAGGCTAGTTCAGCCCAAGACTTCTTGTTACCTATAGAAATCAGCATTTTATAGTTTCTTTTCACATTTCTATAGCGAATTTTCTCCCACTCTCCCATCTCTGCCCATTCTTCTTTGGAGAAGTATATGGAAATGTCTTTGAACTCATCTTTGACCTGGAGGAAAAAATAAAAGCAAAAAAATGGAGCATGCTGGGCAGGGCTTGGGATCCTCGAATGTGGTCTTAGTGACCAAGGTTTTCCTCCCATTCCCAGAAGCCTCTTTAAGCAAACACTGGATGTTCATGCTGATTGAGAAGTTGCTAATAAGCCTTTCCTCTCTCACAGGTCCAGACCCACCATCTTGTCATAGGAAGATCAATATGGTAGTATAGACCAAGAATCTATGGTACTCAAGGCTGTTTGCCTCTGCCCACCCCACGGTCCTCCTAACTCTAGGATAACTTTGTTCTACCTTGTGTTTCCACTCGAGTTTCCCTGCATCTCCTTCAGAACTATTCTCTTCCGGTTTGTTGGTGTTCATGGCGTAGGACATTTCCCTGGAGAGATCCAGGGTCCTATAGTCCTATGGATGAAGAAGTAACTAAGTGCCTTAGGCAAACATGGATGCCACCAGCACATGGGAAGGAGCTGGAGGCTGGGAATCTTAGCAGCCAACACAGCGGCTTCTTCCGTGATCTAGTACACTGGTGCAGGCGCAATGATTCTGGACTGAGCACTAAACCTAGGCACCGAGACCCTATATCCGGGTCAGGGCCTGTAACAGCAAGTGAAGGAAGATTCGTCCCGTCAAGTGGGATCTCCCCCCAACCCCGCTGACCCCACTTGCTCTTCATCTGGACCAAGGAATAAGTCAGGGAAGAGCACTTGGGTCTAAGAGATGTTTTCAGGTAAACGGACTCGGGAATCCTGAGTGCAAGGGATTGAAGTCCCTCTGGTGAAAATTTGAGGATTTTAATTTAGGGAACCTCGGGCTGAGGACTGGAGTTCAACAGATTGAGGGAATTGGGTTTGTAGGCTAGAGGCGTCTTCCAGGCTGTGAAATAAGGTTTGGAGACTTGCAGACTGACGAGATTTGACGACCGTGAGAAGACTTGAGGGTTGTCACGGCGAAGGTATTTAGGGTCCTGCTGGATGAGAGAGCATTTAGGACCTTGGAAGCCTATCTTAAGGAGTGATAGGTCCTCGAGACTGAGGGCGTTTGGGGTCGGTCTCTGGGTCTTAGGAGAGTCTCTACGCCGAGAGTCCAGGTTTCCTGTCTGGAAACTTAGTCTCTCTGAGGCGAGCTACCAAGGTTCCTCAGGCAGAGGGTGGGCTGGTTCCACACTGGTGCCTTTGGGACCTAAACCAAAAGGCATTTGGAGTTCCCGAGAAGCTGAGGTGACGCGGCGTGTGCGTGTGAGCGCGCGCGCGTGTGTCACGCTGAGGGGGTTCGAATCTAATTTAGGGGAAATGGGGTCTCACGGGCCTAGAAAGTCTCGCTGGTCTTGAGAGTCTCGCCTGTACTCGTGGTCCTCGAATCCTGTGTCTGGCGCGGCTGCCGCCGCCGCCGTCCTTCCCTCTGAGGAGCTCCGAGGCTGACTGACTGGAGAATCCACCAATTGACGGACAGCTGGCCGAGGGCGGGAACAAGAAAGGCGGAGGGCGGAGCTCTGCCTGTCAGTCACGGTGTAATTCCTGCCCCTGGCTTTCTTCAGGCTGCCCCGCCCCTCGCTGGGATGGCCAGACCCCTGCACGAATCAGGTGGTGGCCAGCGCGCAGGCGGACACGTGTGCTCTGCGAGGCGTCCGTTTCTCCTGTCTCCTCTTTTTCATTTTTGGCAGGTTGTGTTCCCTGACCTGTGTCCTGTCTACAAAAGGTCTTAAAACCATGGCACAGAGCCTTAAGGGCTTTGGTCTGCTTTAGAGTGGGGTTTCACTCAATCTCCAGTTGGAGCTGGACACTGGGAAGCCGGGGGTTGAGGATGGGACCGGAAGTCCAGCTTTGGCAGACGTATCTTCAGCTCAAGTCCCGCCTGAGATAAGTAGCTAGATCAAAATATATAGACAAAATCAAAGCAAATATGGGTCTCTGGAAAAGAACCTAAAATGGGCTATGAAAGAGGTTTTAAAAAAATATTTATAGAGCCTCTAATTTAACAATAACTAATAAATAATCACATAGGTTTACTAAAATTTTCGTGACGTGCTAAGAGTGCCTTGATTAATATAAATCGTTATTAATTAATAAAAGTTAGTTTACAAGATGGGTGGTGAGATGACGCAGTGGTTAAGAGCACTTGCCGCTCTTGCAGAGGACACATTTTTCAAGCACCATCGTGGGGCAGCTCACAACCCTCGCCCCATAACTCCAGTTCCATGGGGTCCGATGCCTTTTTCTTCATTTTATGGCTACCTACACTTAGACGTGGTGCACTTACATGCACTCAGACCTACGAAAATACACATAAATAAATAAGTAGATCATTTAAAAAGAAATTAAAATTTCTAATGATAAGAATTTAAACATATATATAGTACATGAGATTTAAGAACTTTTGATAGTGCTATGAATGCACTGTTTATTGGCTGCCATAAGTTTGAAATATGTAGACACAATCAGCTTAAATCTATGACTGACTTCTTAGTTCATCTCTCAATAATGTGTTGGTCTAAAACTTGCGGAGACTGTCTGGGATAAATCTATTTAAAGAACTGTAACGGCAGATGTAAAATCTAAACTAATTAGAAGCTTGATGACCTACATAATGGTGACAGGAGAAAGTGGACTGCACAAAGTTGTCCTTTGACCTCTATATACACACTGTGGCATGCAGGAGAACACACACACACACACACACACACACACACACACACACACGTTCTCTACCAAAACAGCAGTTCAGTCCTTGAAATATTGGCAGGCGATGAACTGAGAACAGCAATGGAAAGAAGCAGATTAACAATTTGTAAATGCCTGTTCAGATAGATAAGAAAATAGTACAGATGAACAGGAACTAGGCAATCCTGAAACTCAAACGAAGACCCACAAAAGACAGAAATCTGAGACTGATTGTTAATAAAAGCAAAATTGAGGAACTCTGATTTCCCGAGGTGGAGAGACAAATCTACAGATAGGGTTCTGAAATTCATTTTAGGATAGACAAGGGGTTGGAGATATGGCTCAGAGGTTAAGAGCACTGACTGCTCTTCCAGAGATCCTGAGTTCAATCCCCAGCAACCACATGGTGGCTCATAACCATCTATAATGAGATCTGATGCCCTCTTCTGACATGCAGGCATACATGCAGGCAGAATACTATATATAATAAATAAATCTTAAAAATAAAAACAGGCAAGGTCAGCTGGGACTGGTGGTATAAGTCTGTACTACCAGCTTCTTGGGAGGTCAGAGAGGGAGGAGGCTTGAAAATACAAGGGCATTATGTACCACTTAGTGAGACTTTCTCAAAATGAAAGAAGGCTGGGAATGTAGCTCAGTGGTAGAGGGGTTGGTGGTATGCATGGAGTTCTATGTTCAATCCCTAGTACCACACACACAAAGAACTAAATTCCAGTAAATTAGACTCTCTGCTGAAATAGGTCTACTATACTAAGGAAAGGTATACTAAGTTCTGGTTGGAAGGTAGAGTTAGCCGAAGTATTCACTGAGAATTCATCATAGCAGGACTCTGTGCTGTCCCATTTTTTATATTGATCCCCAAAATATTCCTCAGTTAATGCCATACACATTAATCTTCCTCTCATAAAGACTCAACTGTCAGCACATACTGGTGTAGAAGAAACTCAATGTAATAGAATTGATTTAATGAAGCAATTGTTAGTAGATTTGCTTAGAAGACTTTAAATCAGAAAAAGTAAGGCTTTTTCTGATTTAAAAAGTGAGAGCTAGTAAAACACCCCAAAGATAAGTAACACTATCCATGTGTGTTAAAGATAAACAAAATTAACAGTGCTAAAATATTTGTTCACCAAGATTGCCAGCTATTAGACCCACCCGCAAAGAACCTGTTCTAACAGGCAGCTAAAGGTTCACAGTCATCATTACATTCTGGTCTGCTGCCAGTAGGTCCCCTATGCTCTTATTAAGAAAAACGTAATTCTGCTATGTGAATAAGATGACCCTGGGTAACAACTATTTGAAAAAGAACAATACTGATATACTTAAGAAATCCTGGCCGGGCGGTGGTGGCGCACGCCTTTGATCCCAGCACTTGGGAGGCAGAGGCAGGTGGATTTCTGAGTTCGAGGCCAGCCTGGTCTACAGAGTGAGTTCCAGGACAGCCAGGGATACACAGAGAAACCCTGTCTCACAAAAATAATAATAATAATTATAATCCTGACAATATTTTGGCTGTGTAAATTTTCCATCTGCCCAAGTGGCCAGACTTGAGTTCTCCTGTCTCCATTCAGATTGTTCACAATGTAACCTCAGTCTGAGATTTAAGGATGACAATATATGTAAAATGCAAACGCCTAAGTTATTTATACTTTGGTGAAACATTCTATTCAAGGCCAGATGTTCCTTGAGCATTAGCCAATGGAAAAGCGTCATTAAAGAGCTTTTCTTGTCCCCAAGTGTTCAAAGTTGTTAGGATAGGTGAAATCATTTCGTGTGACTTGGAATAATATAATGCTTCTGAGATGTGCTAAGGAGCCAATCACAAGGTAGCTCCTATAAGAGCCAAGCCTAAGGTAGCCTGTGATATGTTTTTTGTTTTTGTTTGTTTGTTTGTTTGTTTGTTTTGGTTTTTCGAGACAGGGTCTCTCTGTGTAGCCCTGGCTGTCCTGGAACTCACTCTGTAGACCAGGCTGTCCTTGAACTCAGAAATCCGCCTGCCTCTGCCTCCCAAGTGCTGGGATTAAAGGCGTGCACCACCACCGCCCGGCCAGGCTGTGATATGTTAATAAATCAACCCTAAGCTGTGAGCCCTGTGAATGCCTACTGGAACAATACAGAAACTCCAACTTTCGTGCTGTACCCAGGATCTAAAACATTCCATCTCAAACTCTTGGCTTATTTCCAATGGCAAAGGAACTCTGAGACTGGCCACTTTTTTACTCTGGTTCTGATGATCATTGAGTTTCTGGCACTGTAAAGGTGTAAGAATCGCTGAAGGAAGACCCCTAGTCTCAAATAGTATGCAAAAGCGAAGAGCATTTATTTTGCAGAAAGAACACTATCTGAGAGTCAACCATTCATACAAAATGGCGACCCCAAGAGGAGCTTGCAAATTTATTTTATTCAGAGCTAGGGAAATTTTCTGGAAGAGTTAGGCAATCTCTAACATGATTGCCTAGGAAAGCAGCAGTTACATTAGCACATTTCTGGTTGGTTGCTATCTTAGTTTTATATATTAGTTTTATCATTTTGGTGAGGCCTTAAAGAAATTCCAGGACTTGGCTCTGGGCTTCTCCTCCCCTTTAGCCAAATGTCAGGGCCATCCTTTATTAAAGACCCATTGCCTGTAATTCTCTCAAGAAGCCTTGTTTGCTTCCCTGGGAAACTGAAAATTTTCATCCCCAAGGTTTCAGAGGTCTCAGCACCACTGCTAAGTTCACACATGCCTGCTTTGTCAGAGCTCAAACGAGACTCTCAAGGATCTTCTGGAACAGTACAGTTTTCTTAGCCTGCCA